AGGATGTGTCCCAGAGCCTCAACGGAAAAGCATCAAGCCGCAGATTAGTACTCACATGTGTGATGCTCTCTGCGTTTCTGAGGATTCGCAGGCACAGCCTCTCATTCGGTAGTCACAGAAGTCCCAAGACAGCCGAACGAGGTCAGCCAGGCAGCGAGGGACGGAGCTTTAACGCTATCCCAGGGCCGATGGCTCCAAGGCCAGCGCTCCCTCCCCAGGCTCTCACTGCCTTCCTTACAGAGAGGCTTTTCCCACTTACTGAGGTACAATCATCAAAGCACGCCCTGTGTCCCAGAACCTGGCCACCGAGCAACCCAGCAAACTGCCTGCCTGCCTCCTGGGTGTGGCAACAGCAGGTGCCTGGGGGGGTCAGTCAAGACGCAGAGGAAGGGACCCACAGTCCCCCTTTCACACTCAACTGGAGCCCACGTCCTTGATCTGAGAACTGCTAGCTTGATCTCTGCATGCCTGGCTGCCTGAACTCATCCATTGCAAACACTGGCACCAGCCTCTGGCACAGACCCCTCAGTTATCCCAGTGACTCAGGCCCCCTCGCTCCCCAGTCACAACCCCTCCGGCAGTGTCTGCTTCAGGAGTCCGTCTTACTGCAGGACACCTCACTCTGACTGGATGTCCAGTCTGAGATCTCAGCTCCAGGACTGCTGACGCTGTCCAGAGTTGGCAGCCAGGAAACCAGAAAGCAAGGGCTAACACAGCTCTTCCAGCCTATGGTCGTCACTCTGGCTAACTTTCCAATAAGCCCGGGAGAAATAAAACATCAGTCTTCATTGAGAGAGGATCAATGGTGCAGCCTAAGAAACAGGCTCCAAGGGAGGGATGCTGAGCCCTGGGGCATGGGCAAGCAGCTGGGCAGGGGACGCGGGGTGCAGGGTCCCGGCGCTGCACCACACCTGCCCTTAAAGGAGTCCCTGCGTGGTGTGTTGGTGTCCTGTGGCAGGACAGAGTCCAGGACTTTGTTATACGCATCTACAGTAGGCAGGAAGCAGTCTGGAAAAGCAACACTATCTCAATAGCAAGGCAAAGCCAGACAGAAACAATTGCGGAGGCCAGAATACAGCACAAGGAATAAACAAGTTATTTAAAGAACAGAATCACTTGTACGGTGAAGGCTAGGGTGGTTCCTGTTAAGCCCATGTGTCCACTGACCAGTCTCTCCAGGCTTCAGACCACTCCTTATTTGCATTTTATGTGGTAGTTGTTTAACACATGAGTATAACCCTTTACCCTGATGTATTTGGACTCATGTTACTGTCTCTCTTTCCTCTTTACTAGTTTTCCTTTAGTTCTCTTTCCTTTTCCTGCCTTGTTGGATTGACACATTACCCCTACTCCCACCACTTCTTTCCCTCCTGGGTTGGAAATCATATCCCTCTTCTTCCCTCTTTTAGTGGCTATCTTAAATTGCTAGCATATATACACTTTCTTAACGAGGCCTAAGGTTTTCAGTAATACTGTTCTATTTAACACGGCAGAAACCTGATGTGATTTAAGAATGGTGTTCCCTTCCTTACTCTACCTTATTCTTCCTTGCCTATGTGGTTAACAATTTTAGTTTACCTTCTTAAAATTAAAAAACCAAACTAGACACAGAATCCCTGTTTTTGTGTTTTGCCATCTGTGGCAGACACTGTTGGTTGCCTACCAGCAGCCACTCCCCCTTCTTTCCTGCCAACAGAGTCCTGATTTGGCTCAGGCGGCAAAGAACCCAGCCCCAGGAGACGAGGCAAGCCTGGACAGGCAGCCACAGGAAGCCCGTTCCCTTTTACCAGGAACTGGTGTAGGGATGAACCAGCTCGGGCCCATGAGACATAAGGAGGTATCTGCTGGGGCCTTCTTGGAAAGATTCTTCTTCCCAAAGAAGAGGCACATTAGAAAGCTTCCTTTTTCTTAGCATCCCCCTGTTTGGGAGGTTATATGGTGACGCTGTGCCACCTGGGGCTGTAGCAGCCATCTCTCAGCCATGAGGAGAAGGATCTCACACCCTCAAGATGGCAGAGCAGAACAATGGAATGACCCAGGGTTTTTCATATCAGTATTAGACCACTGCCCCAACCCTGGGACTCCCTAACGCCACACTTCTCATCATAAGCTTATTAAATATTTTCTGGAATTTAAGTCACTGTGGGTAACTGAATTATCTGAATACGCATTCCATAGTTAAATTTATCAACATATTATGTCAATTTCTGCACTCGATGTTCATGCTAGCAATCTCCTTCCCCCAAGTTTTCTTCTTACTAAAGTATACCTTTGGTAGTTCTTTTAGTCACTATCCACAGGTGATAAAACCATCTTAGCTGGGGAGGGAGATGGGAGGGAGGTTCAAAAGGAGGGGTATATATATACCTATGGCTGATTCATGTTGAGGTTTGACAGAAAATGATGAAATTCTGTAAAGCAATTATCCTTCTATTAAAAATAAATTCTTAAAAACTGTCTTAGCATGTCCAGAAATATCTTTATTTCTCCTCAGTCTTAAATGAGAGCTGAATATAGAATTCTAGCTTCCTTAAGACAGCCTTCTATCACCTCTGGCATTTAATGTTGATGAAATGTTGTCTGTCGGTCTAATTCTCATTTCTTTGAAATCTTTTATTTCTCTGTGAGTCCCCCCACCTGGTAGCTTTTAATATTTTCCCTTTATTCTTTTTTTTTCTTTGGCTGCACCACGCAGCTTGCAGGATCTTAGTTGCCCAGCCAGGAACTGAACCCGTGTTGCCTACAGTGGACATGCAGAGTCCTAACCACGGGACCACCAGTGAATTCCCATATTTTCCTTTTATTCTTTCTTGGGGGGAAGGGTAATAATTTACTCTACTCCCTTTATTCTTATCTGCAGTTTCATTGTATTATATCTAGCTATTTATTCTGTTTGATTGGAGAAGGAAATGGCAACCCACTCTAGTATTCTTGCCTGGAGAGTCCTGTGGACAAGAGAGCCTGGTGGGCTGCTGTCCATGGAGTCACACAGAGTTGGACATGACTGAAGCAACTTAGCATGCATGCATGCCTTGGAGAAGGAAATGGCAACCCACTCGTGTTCTTGCCTGGAGAATCCCAGGGACGGGGGAGCCTGGTGGGCTGCCATCTATGGGGTCACACACAGTCGGGCACGACTGAAGCAACTTAGCAGCAGCAACAGCATTCTGTTTGGTATTCATGCTGTTACGTCAATTTTGGAATTCTTAGTCATTATCACTTCAAATGTTTTTCTGCCATTTCCTTGATTCGTATCTGGAACTCCTAACTAGACTTGTACTAAAGCCTGTCACTCTGTCCTCCATGTCTATCCTGCATTCTAAATTAATTCCTCAGCATGAGTGTCCAATTCATGATTTCTATGTGTCCAGGCTATAGTGATCCATCGTCTCAAGTTCTAATTACACTATTTTTCAATGCTGTAATTTTTAGTTTTTTGTAATTTTTAATTTAAAATTTAATTTAAAATTTTCATATTCACCTATTGTTTCCTTTATGACTCCCCTTTCTTTTAATAAGTTTCTTGTTGCCCTAATTTCTTTGACGATCCTTAACCTCTTTCTTTTTTTTTGAAATTGCATCCAAGTACTGCATTTTGGACTGTTTTGTTGACCATGATGGCTACTCCATTTCTTCTAAGGGATTCCTGCCCACAGTAGTAGATATAATGGTCATCTGAGTTAAATTCACCCATTCCAGTCCATTTTAGTTCACTGATTCCTAGAATGTTGATATTCACTCTTGCCATCTCCTGTTTGACCACTTCCAATTTGCCTTGATTCATGGACCTAACATTCCAGGTTCCTATGCAATATTGCTCTTTACAGCATCAGACCTTGCTTCTATCACCAGTCACATCCATAACGGGGTATTGTTTTTGCCTTGGCTCCATCCCTTCATTCTTTCTGGAGTTATTTCTCCACTGATCTCCGGTAGCATATTGGGCACCTACCGACCTGGGGAGTTCCTCTTTCAGTATCCTATCATTTTGCCTTCTCATACTGTTTATGGGGTTCTCAAGGCAAGAATACTGGAGTGATTTGCCATTCCCTTCTCCAGTGGACCACATTCTGTCAGACCTTTCCACCATGACCCTACTGTTTTGGGTGGCCCCACACGGCATGGCTTAGTTTCATTGAGTTAGACATGACTGTGGTCCTGTGATCAGATTGGCTAGTTTTCTGTGATTATGGTTTTAGTGTGTCTGATGCCCTCTGGCAACACCTACCATCTTACTTGGGTTTCTCTTACCTCGGACGTCAGGTATCTCTTCATGGCTGCTCCAGCAATGCGCAGCCACTGCTCCTTACCTTGGACGAGTGGTATCTTCTCAGGGCTGCCCCTCCTGACCTTGAACGTGGAGTAGCTCCTCTCAGCCCTCCTGCGCCCAGCAGCAGCCCCTCCTTGGAAGTGGGGTTGCTCCTCTAGGCAGCAGTCCCTGACCTCGGAGGTGTGGTAGCTCCTCTCAGCCGCCGCCCCTGCCCTTGGGCATGGGAAAGCTCCTCTCCGCTGCAGCTCCTGCGCTGTCACAGCCTGACGCTCTCGGTTGCTATCCCTGACCTTGGGTGAGGGGTAGCTGCTCACGGCCGCGCTTCTGCGCCGTCTGTCGCAGCCGGCGCGCCTCTAGTTCCATATAATTTTGTATATTACTTTAGAACAAGCTTCTACATTTATACTTGAATCAGGTGTATTGTACTTGTGCTGAAGTCATGATCAACTTTAAACAAAGTCACCCAGCCGTGCATAACATCATTCAAATGGCATTTCCTTATTTATAATAGAGTCCTAGTAGTGGGATGGCTGGGTGCAAGGGTAAACACATACATGGTTTGGCCAGAGATTCCCACACTTTTCTCTGTAGGTGATGGACCATCTTGTACTCCTACCAGCGTGTGAGTTGTGTCTGTTTCCCAAAACTTTGCAGTGGAGGGCATTGTTGAACTCTTGAAATTTGGAGTCCATTATTTCTTTCATCTCTCACTGCCGTTTTCCCCTTCCAGACTGAGAATATACAAGTTGCATTACCTTTAGAGAACCATTTGGAAGGAAAAGTTGGTTTTAAGACCTATAAGAATTACTTCACACCCCATGCTGACTGGTCTGTCATCATCTTCCTTATACTAGTAAACATTGCAGCTCAGGTACGTAACATTTATTTTGGTTTGTGCACTCAGCTTGATATTCATGTACTATTTATACTGTATTTATTTTATAATTATTCTTAGATATGTGTTTTAAGAGATTTATTTTAAAAACTGGCTAGGGTTGTGGAATCTTGCTGGATGAATGTGACATCAGGAAGGCAAGCTTGCAGGTTGAAACCTCAGACAGGAGCTGACCCTGCTGTCTTGAGGCAGAATTTCTTCCTCCTCTAGGACACCTCAGGATTTGCACTCAGGCCTTCATCTGACTGGATGAGGCCACCACAGTGCTATTACTGCATTTTAAGTTCTCTTGGGTTTGCACTGAAATATGTTATATGTGTTGAGCAAAGTCTTCTGGGAAAAAGGATATCTTTTAAAGATTTTAAAATGTATCATGCTCTCCCCTGACCTGTGGTCATATGCGGTGTGGGGCTTGATACAGACCTGACCCAGAAGGACCGTCTCTGTGTTCTGGAGCCTTTCCATCCCCCATCCTAGTGAGTGGGATGTGAAGGCTCAGGAATGTCAGTTTGTGAGTGAATGTTGTTTCTTGCTCCAGGTTGCCTATGTCCTACAGGATTGGTGGCTTGCATTCTGGTGAGTGATGATTCCTGGTCTGATCCAAAGTGCTTTGAAATTTACATGAAGCTTCACTTTCCCACAAAGTCGGGTCGGAGTGAGCTTCTTTAGCCTCCTCTTATGACCAGCAAGTAGTTTCCCTGAAGAAAAAGTAAACTTCTTGTGGGTGAGTATGATCACCCTGTAGTCTCTCCCCATGTCCCTCTCTTTAGTAGCTTCTTCATAGACAACTTTTTTTCTTTTTTTGAACTTTTTCTTTTGTATTGAAATATAGCTGGTTAACCATGTTGTGATAGTTTCAGGTGAACAGTGAAAGGAGTCAGCCATACACATATATGTATCCATCCTCCCCCAAGTCCCCTCCTATCCAGGCTGGCTGCCATGTAACAGTGAGCAGAGTTCCTGTTCCATATGCTATACAATAAGTCCTTGTTGGTTATCTATTTTAAATATAGAAGTGTGTGCATGACCATCACAAACTCCCAAATATCCCTTCCCCTCCAGCAACCATAAGTTCATTTTCTTTTTTTTTTAATTTATTTTATTTTTTTTCCATTTATTTTTATTAGTTGGAGGCTAATTACTTTACAACATTGCAGTGGTTTTTGTCATACATTGAAATGAATTAGCCATGGATTTACATGTATTCCCCATCCCGGTCCCCCCTCCTACCTCCCTCTCCACCCGATCCCTCTGGGTCTTCCCAATGCACCAGGCCCGAGCACTTGTCTCATGCATCCAACCTGGGCTGGTGATCTGTTTCACCCTAGATAATATACATGTTTCGATGCTGTTCTCTTGAAACATCCCACCCTCACCTTCTCCCACAGAGTCTGTCTTCACAGACGGTTTTGAGAACTGAAAGTCATGATTCAGATTTTTAAAAGGGAGACACACAGAGGTTCTTGTGAGCTGGGAAACACTTTCCAGCATGAAACACATTCCTCAAATTGAGGTAATTTTTTTTATATTTGTGTAAATTCTATATATACACACACACACACATACACACACACACACATACACACACACACATATATATATGTAAAATTTAATATTTTTTCTTCCCTGTTCCATAGGGCACATGTACAAAGTGGCCTGTATTTTGGGGCAATTGTAAGAGGAGATGAAGATGTAGTGTTCGTTCTGAACTGGTACTTAGGAGCTTATTCAGGTAAAGTTGAGTCATCCGCTCCATTGTACGAGAGTTTAAGGTGTTTACAAGTCTGTATGAGCAAGTAGGGCTTCCAGGAGTAATTCAGTAATGTATTAACAGATTAAGTGTCTGAGTTGCATTTACTCTGTGAATTATTTAGAATAAGTATTTTAAAGATCTACTAGAAGAAAAGAGGTTGAATGAAGACTCTTAATTTGCTCTGTACTGGATTTTGATAATTAAATCAGGATTGCCTATTCAGAAGATCAGCCACTGGAAATATGTGGCTATTGTCTGTTCTAATAGATTGTTTTAACTAAATCTGATATTGTTATATGGATGGGCAAGGGGATAGAAATGGTCCTCACTCTGTGGTTCAGTTGTTCCAATCCTGTTTGAATAAACCCTGGCATTTATTGATCTTGGATGAAATCTTCTGGCACCATGGGCCCCAGACGAAAGCATTATTCCCTCCCAGGAATGCATACTCCCCTTCACCACACTGCTCATCTTGGGCTTCACTAATTACTTGAGAAGCTAAGAAGGGGAAATCCAATGTCTGGGGTTAGATTCCTTCTCTTTCTTACCTTGAGTTCACAGTGTTGTCTTCTCTCCAACTGTGTGATTAATTTAAAATTTGGCTTGCCAGACTAATACTAACATGACTTTCTCTATTCCGTAGAGTGTTTAGAATATGTATAGATAGCATTACATACTATTTAAAGCATATCTTTACGTCAAATATTAGATATTTTCTTTATCCATTCATCTGTTGATGGACATTTAGGTTGTTTCCATGTCCTAGCTATTGTAGATAGTGGTGTTATGATCATTAGGGTTCATGTGTCTTTTTGAATTATGATTTTCACAGAGTATCCCAGTAGTAGGATTTCTGGGTCATGTGGTAGTTCTATTTTTAGTTTTCTGAAGAATGCCCATACTGGAATAGCAGACCACCTTACCTGCCTCCTGAGAAACCCATATGTAGATCAAGAAGTAACAGAACTGCGCATGGAATAATGGATTGGTTCCAAGTAGGGCAAGGAGTATGTCAAGGGTATATATTGTCATCCTGTTTATTTAACTTCTATGTAGACTACACTGGAGAAGGCAATGGCAACTCACTCCAGTACTCTCGCATGGAAAATCCCATGGACGGAGGAGCCTGGTAGGCTGCAGTCCATGGGGTCGCTAAGAGTTGGATACGACTAAGTGACTTCACTTTCACTTTTCCTTTCATGCATTGAAGAAGGAAATGACAACCCACTCCAGTGTTCTTGCCTGGAGAATCCCAGGGACAGGGGAGCCTGATGGGCTGCTGTCTCTGGGGTCACACAGAGTTGGACACGACTGAAGCGACTTAGCAGCAGCAGCAGCAGCATGTAGAGTACATCACACAAAATGCTGGGCTGGATGACTCCCAGGCTGGAATCAAGATTGATTGGAGAAATACCAATATCCTCAGATATGCAGGTGACACCACCCTTATGGCAGAAAGCGAAAAGGAACTAAAGAGTCTCTTGATGGAGGTGAAAGAGGAGAGTGAAAAAGCTTGCTTAAGGGACTTCCCTGATGGTCCAGTGGCTAAGACTCCGAGCTCCCAATGCAGAGGGGCCTGGGTTCAATCCCTGGTCAGAAAACTAGATCCCACATGCTGCAACTAAGACCTGGCACAGCCAAATAAGTAAATATTTTTTTAAAAAGCTGGCTTAAAACTCAACATTCAAAATACTAAGATCATGGCATCTAGTCCCATCGCTTCATGGCAAATAGATGGGGAAACAATGGAAACAGTGACTTTATTTTCTTCAGCTCCCAAATCACTATGGACAGTGACTACAGCCATGAAATTTAAAGATGCTTGCTCCCTGGAAGAAAAGCTATGTCAAATGTTGATAGTGTATTAAAAGGCAGAGATATCTCTTTGCCAACAAAGGTCTGTATAGTCAAAACTATGGTTTTTCTGGTAGTCATGTACGGATGTGAGATTTGGACCATAATGAATGCTGTGTGCCAGAGAATGGATTCTTTTGAAGTGTGTTGCTGAAGAAGACTCTTGAGAGTTCCTTGGATAGCAAAGAGATTAAACCAGTCAGTCCTAAAGGAAATCAACCCTGAATGTTAATTGGAAAAACTGATGCTGAATCTGAAACTCCAATAATTTGGACACCTAATGCAAAGAGCCAATTCACTGGAAAAGACCCTGATGCTAGGAAAGCTTGAGGACTGGAGAAGAAGGGGGTGACAGAGGATGAGATGGTCGGATGGCATCACTAATTCAATGGACATGAGTCTGAGCAAGCTCCAGGAGGTAGTGAAGGACAGGGAAGCCTGGCGTGCTGCTGTTCATGGGGTCTCAAGGAGTCGCTCACAACTGAGCAACTGAACAGCAGTGACAGTACTCCATTGTGGCTTTATAAATTTACATTCCCACCAGCATTGCAAGAGGGTTCCCTCTTCTCCACACCCTCTCTCGCATTTATTGTTTTTATCCTTTTTGATGAAAGCTATCCTGACTGGTGCGAGGTGATACCTTATTGTAGTTTTGATCTAATTTCTCTAATAGTGATGTTGAGCATCTTTTTATGTGCCTGTTGGCCATCTATGTGTCTTCTTTGGAGAAATGTCTCTTTAGGTCTCCAGCCCATTTTTTGATTGGGTTGTTTGTTTTTTTGATATTGAGCTGCACAAGCTGTTTGTATATTGTGGAGATTAATCTCTGGTCAGTTGCTTAGTTTGCTCTTATTTTCTCCTATTCCAAGGTTGTCTTTTCATCTCATTTATGGTACATATACACACTGGAATATTACTCATCCATAGAAAGGAACAAAATTGGGTCATTTGTAGAGACACGGATGGACCTAACCCTATTATACAGAGTATAATAGGGTCTATTATACAAAGTAAAGTAAAAGTAATTGTTTTTTTAATATAAGCAAAGAAATGCCTATATTAATGGATATGTATGGAATCTAAAAAATGGCACTGATGAACCTGTTTGCAGGGCCAGGAATAGAGTTGTAGTTGTTGAGAATAGACGTGTGGACACTCTGGGTGGAGTGGGGAGGAGCGAAAGATAAATTGGGAGATGAGGATTAACATATTACTCTACCACGTGTGAAACAGATAGTGGGAAGCTGCTGCATAGCACAGGGAGCTCAATTCAGTGCTCTGTGGTGACTAGAGGGAAGGGATACAGGGACGGGAGGTCCATGAGGGAGGGGATATATGTATACATATAGCTGATTTACTTCATTGTATTTAGAGAAGGAAATAGCAACCCACTCCAGTACTCTTGCCTGGAGAATCCCATGGATGGAGGAACCTGGTCGGCTACAGTCCACGGGGTCGCAAAGAGTCGGACACGACTGAGCAATTTCACTTTCACTCACTCACAGCAGAAACTAATGCAACATTGCAAAGAAACTATACCCCAATAAAATTAAAAAAAAATTAAATATCCTCACAGGAAATGCTTGTATAAGCTTTTTACAAAGAGTGAATTATGTAAAAATCTACTCATTGAAATTTGTTATTTATTTTGTTGATCACTTGCTAAGAAACTTGAATCCATTAGCTAGTTTCTTTCTGAATTGGTAGAGTATGGGGGCTTAAAAAAGAAGGAAGGGATTCTGTTACACATTCATATTGGATGTGGGTTAAGGCAAATAAATGCCTGTTGATGGAATTCAGGAATTTAAGCTGCTTTCAGAATTTAAGTAACACTGATGTATCAGTTGAATGGACAAAAAAAGGAGTACTTGAGGGAATAATTATTATAGAAGTTATCCCCTTTTTATTTAGCATTGTGTGTTGAAGAGATGTTCAGAGTGCTATTTTAATTTTTATATGCATGGTAATGCTTATTTATGTCATTGATAAAACATAAATGTAAATGATTATATTTACTTACAAGTTTTTGAAAGTGAAACCGTTAGTCTCTCACTTGTGTCTGACTCTTTGTGACCCCATGGACTGTAGCCTGCAAGGCTCCTTTGTCCATGGAATTCTCCAGGCAAGAATACTAGAGCAGGTAGCCATTCCCTTCTCCAGGGGATCTTCCCAACCCAGGGACTGAACCCAGGTCTCCTGTTTTGCAGGTAGATTCTTTATTCTCATCTGAGCCGCCAAATACTTAGTGCAAGGTTAGTTGCTTGTTTAGATTAATTATTTCATGTCAAAACATAATTTATAGTTTCTTGCAATTCAATAATGTAAGAGATTGCCCACTTTCAACTTAACATGATCTTTTCATACTCTTTAAAGTTACTTGGACATAGAAGTAGCTACTTTATTTTTAATATTTTAAATTTTTGTTATGGTATATTTGCTTTCCTATGTCATGTTAGTTTCTGCTGTACAGCAAAGTGAACAAAGTGAACACAAAATGAACAATCCTCTCTTTTTTGGATTTCTTTCCCATTCAGGTCACCGCAGAGCACTGAGTAGAGTTCCCTGTGCTATAGAGTAGGTTCTTAAGAAATTACTTTACATGAAAGTAAATTTCCTTGTAAATTACAAGGAAGTGGTAAATCATTTCTCCTGTTACCTGTTCATTCATATGCTGGTATCAAAGTATACTTCAGTTTTAGATTATGGGACAAGTTGTAAATAGTGACATTTGAAATGCGGAGAGATGATGATCAAATACTTTTTATAATTATCTTGCTTGTGAGTTTTTATTAGAACTTGTAATTAAATTAGGAAAGCCTAGAATGAAACTGTAGTTTACACATGATTTTTTTTTTTCCCTCTGCGTTGTTTCTATTTAGTGAGAGGAAAACAGTGATTTTTATGTATTTCTTTATAAATGTATTTTGGGAAAGCATTAAACTCTTATAGGATCCACTTTATATTTTTAAATATGTATATATATATATGTATTTACACATATGTTTTTTATTCAATATATGTAAATCTCTATAAAAATTTTATTTGTAGAATAAAATACACAGTATCTTTATAAACTGCCTGGCATACTTGAGCACTGTTGAGGATAAGGCAGATATCTTGTGCTGAGTGATGTTTCTTTTTTTCAGGTTTAACTGTATCTACCATCCTTTTTGGCATCACAAGATCTTTGTTGATATTCTATGTCTTTGTTAATTCTTCACAAACTTTGCATAGCAAAATGTTGGAGACCATTTTAAGAGCTCCAGTATTGTTCTTCAACAGAAATACAATAGGTAAGTCAGACATGAAGTTTCTCAGTGAATATGTTTTGTTAACACATTTAGCACCTAATTACATTTTCATGTTTGAAAATGGAAGAGACATTTGGAAGAAAATCACTGTGTGTTTGTTCATTTTCTACAAAAAGTTTCATTGATAATTTTTCCTACCAGAGAAAATCTGAATATAAGAGCATATAAGCTTTTATTCCAATTTATGTGTGTTTGTAAAGATAAATGGATGTTTACTTTGCAGGATGATTTAGGAGTCCATTTGTTATGTGGCATATGAAACACTCAAAATATGATGCAAATGTGTTGAAATGTTTTTGACTAGTTGCTGAAACATTGTGTTACACAGTGTTAAGCTAACGAGGAATGACCTTTCTCCAGGAACATCTGTACAGAATATAGGCTGTGTGTTTCTTTCTTTCACTGCCCATCCATTTATGGGACCACAGAGCTCTGACATGTTCTCACATTTTGAGTTTTACCTAATCACAATGGTGTGATCACTCACCTAGAGTCAGGCATCCTGGAATGTGAAGTCAAGTGTGCCTTAGAAAGCATCACTACGAACAAAGCTAGTGGATGTGATGAAATTCAAGCTGAGTTATTTCAAATCCTGAAAGATGATGCTGTGAAAGTGCTGCACTCCATATGCCAGCAAATTTGGAAAACTCAGCAGTGGCCACAGGACTAGAAAAGGTTCATTTTCATTCCGATCCCCAAGAAAGGCAATCCCAAAGAATGCTCAAACTACCGCACAATCGCACTCATCTCACACGCTAGTAAAGTAATGTTCAAAATTCTCCAGGCCAGGGTTCAGCAATACGTGAACTGTGAACTTACAGATGTTCAAGCTGGTTTTAGAAAAGACAGAGGAACCAGAGATCAAATTGCCAACATCTGCTGGATCATTGAAAAAGCAAGAGAGTTCCAAAAAAAAAATACCTATTTATGGTTTATTGACTACACCAAAGCCTTTGACTGTGTGGATCACAATAAACTGTGGAAAATGCTGAAAGAGATGGGAATACCAGACCACCTGACCTGCCTCTTGAGAAACCTGTATGCAGGTCAGGAAGCAACAGTTAGAACTGGACATGGAACAACAGACTGGTTCCAAATAGGAAAAGGAGTACATCAAGGCTGTATATTGTCACCCTGCTTATTTAACTTATATGCAGAGTACATCATGAGAAACGCTGGGCTGGAAGAAGCACAAGCTGGAATCAAGATTGCCGGGAGAAATATCAATAACCTCAGATATGCAGATGACACCACCCTTATGGCAGAAAGTGAAGAGGAACTAAAAAGCCTCTTGATGAAAGTGAAAGAGGAGAGTGAAAAAGTTGGCTTAAAGCTCAACATTCAGAAAACTAAGATCATGGCATCTGGTCCCATCACTTCATGGCAAATAGATGGGGAAACAGTGGAAACAGTGGCTGACTTTATTTTTCTGGGCTCCAAAATCACTGCAGATGGTGATTGCAGCCATGAAATTAAAAGACGCTTACTCCTTGGAAGGAAAGTTATGACCAACCTAGACAGCATATTAAAAAGCAGAGACATTACTTTGCCAACAAAGGTCCGTCTAGTCAAGGCTATGGTTTTTCCAGTGGTCATGTATGGATGTGAGAGTTGGACTATAAAGAAAGCTGAGTGCCGAAGAATTGATGCTTTTGAACTGTGGTGTTGGAGAAGACTCTTGAGAGTCCCTTGGACTGCCAGGAGATCCAACCAGTCCATCCTAAAGGAGATCAGTCCTGGGTGTTCATTGGAAGGACTGATGCTGAAGCTGAAACTCCAATACTTTGGCCACCTCATGCGAAGAGTTGACTCATTGGAAAAGACCCTGATGCTGGGAGGGATTGGGGGCAGGAGGAGAAGGGGACGACAGAGGATGAGATGGCTGGATGGCATCACCGACTCAAAGGGCATGAGTTTGAGTAAACTCCAGGAGTTTGTGATGGACAGGGAGGCCTGGCGTGCTGCGATTCATGGGGTCGCAAAGAGTCGGACAGGACTGAGCAACTGAACTGAACTGACTGAATGGAAAATCAATTAAAATACAAGATCACTGAAACGTAAACATCCTCTTCAATAAAATCAACTTTCTAGCTTTACAGTAGATTTTTGGTTACTTTTAAGAATCTTGTGGTAGGTAGCAGGTGGATCTTCAGCATAAAGTAAGAGTGTCCCTGAAGGTGTCCCAGTGGTTGCTTCTTCCACCGAGGCCTTTGACCTGTCTTGCTTCAGAAGGTGGCCTCCTGACCTGGGTTCCTATGAAGAGTTAGTTCATAGACTTGTGTTGAGGCTCAGGGTGGCTTTGTTTTTTCAGGTGATGATTGACAGGACCTGTTGAGGCTGGAATGACGGCTGGAGGGAGGATAGAAATAGCCTCAGCCTGGTCATCAACTAATAGTGTGACCAAGGATAAAGCAGGTAGATACCACTGGGCAGGCAAATCTCAAAGCAGGATGTTGTCATGGTTATAAGTATGGGGTCTGGAGCCAGTTTCCTGAGTTCTGTCCTGGTGCTAGTTACTAAAGTAATAATGAGTTACAGTTATGTTAATATTTATGTGCTATTTAACTTCTCTGTCTCAATTTTCTTACCTATAAAATGAGAATACTATTCATTCACTTAACAATATCTTGATTTTTGTGGGCATTAGCCAGGTTAATATAGTCACAGCACCTATCACATGGGTAGCACCTAATGAACCTTAGTGAGGATGACGACACGGTGTCTTAGAACTTCCTCCTCTATGAAATAGGAATAACCGTTGCCCTTCATGTTTCACAAGACTGTCTTGAGGATTAAATAAGACTGTTGGGGGCAGAATCCTGTGTAGATTTATTCAGCACATGTTGTTTGGTCCAGGCACTGTGTGGAGCACAGGATGGTAAACTGCTGAGGCCCACACAGATCTCATCTTATTATGAAGCTGGAGTGAGGAAGTGATTGGAGGAGTCCATGCTGTTATGGCTGTGAAGTTACTCTACTTTGCCTGTTAATGTGAAAGCTATAGTTGTAAATCTGGGAGCATCAAGTGGGACTGAACTTCTGTTATCCCAAGTTCTGCATGCTCATGACCACAATTAACCAGGCTCTTGATGATCTGTAGGCTTCTCCAGATGCTGATGTACTTATTACTCAAGGATTTAGAACCAAGTTTAAATCTTTAAGGTCACTAATCCTAGAGTAGCAGACATACCAGTATGTGTCTTGTCTCTCCCTCCTGTGTCTATTATTAGTACTTCATTCCTTTTAGAAAATAGAAACCCAAATAAGTACTGAAAAGATAGGCCCAAAGTTTAGGGCATCAATTATTTACTTTTTACCAGTATATTAAATCAAACACTTCCCTGTGTTTATTTTCAAAAGTAGAATTTATAATAGATTGTTTTTGGTGGTCTTTGTTTCTGGTATGTGATGGCAAGAAGAGAAAACCACATACAGTGGTGTTACTTGTTACCAAGTTCAAACTGGCTCTGCTTACCTCACAATGCCAACAAGTCATACAGATGTCATATTAAAGCAAAGAATAACAGCTTTATTTGGAAACTTGTCAGACTAAGAAGATGGCAAACTAATGTCTCAAAATATCCATCTTACTGGGGTCTGGATGCCAGGTTCTTTTATAGAACATGGAGGATACGAGGATAGAAAGTAAAGTCAAAAGGACATTTATCTTGCAGAATAGGGGGGCATTTGTTTAAAATTTTTTTTTCTTTTCTGAAGCCATTCATAGGTGGTGAGGGTAAGATTGTCTCCCTGTGAGCTGAAAAAAGGTACTTTAACATTCAGGTAGAAGGGCAGGGTTCCCTGACAAAAGCTATGAATAGCAATATTAACGTCAAAGGAACAGATCCAACATGGAGTCAAAATTGGCTCTTCCCTGTTATAGTTCCTTTGATGGGCACCTCCGCTACCTGGGGCCAGTATCCTGTGCTTTCTCATCCTGAGTCTTCTCAGGGAGCACCACCATTGAAGGCGTGCCTGCCAAGTCCTGATGACTGCAGCATCCTTTGTTTCCTGTTGTGACAGGTGGCATTTTTACTTCACACCAGATATTTACTAGAAATTATCATATTCTAATCCTGCAGTCTTTAGGATATGCTCTTATTGTGGATTCTGAGAAGGGAAATAAAATCAATGATAACTGATTCTTAATCATTTAGTAATATTCCCATTTTCCTGCCTACATTCCTCTGGTCTTCTTAGATGTTTATTCAGAAGTCTATTCTTATCACACCTTGTACACCTCTGAAAATAATGACTTATTACCCCAGTGGTAAACTCACAACTTGGAAATGGCCAGAACCCACACTTTCCCAAAATGTGAGGCACTGTGAACCATTTGGAGGGAAAAACATTACAGAGAGGTTATACATATATTTATTTAAAGAGTATCACTTGGCAAAATTAATCTTGACAACTAAAACAAAATTGATGTAACAATTAGGATTAACTGTTTCATTAATTTGTTGCATACTTAGGTATTTGCAACTGTTTATTTACCAACTTAGCATTTGGAATGAGTCTCAGATGGGATGAATCTAAAATGGGGGGGGGGCATTCTGTAATCCACCAACCCTTTTTGATACTGCCACCAGATTCCCCCATTCTTTTAAAAATCAGGGCTCAATTTCAACTTCCCACCCCCTGCCATTTGGTGGCATTTTCGTTTCTCTTTACTTATCATCCTATTTTCTCTTTATTTTTACCACTGACATCAGCTTATTTCATATAAATTTGTAATACATTAAATTTATTGCAGTTTAATTGCTGAATCGTGTCTGTCTGATTCTTTTGCAGTCCCATGGACTGTAGCCCACCAGGCTCCTCTGTCTGTGGGTTTCCCAGGAAAGAACACTGGAGTGAGTTGCTATTTCCTTCTCCAAGGGATCTTCCCAATCCAGGGATTGAATCCACATCTCTTTTGTCTCTTGCGTTGGCAGGTGGATTCTTTACCACTGAGTAACTAGGGAAGTCCAAATATTTAATGGATGTATTTTATTTTTTAAAAAAGATTTATTTATTTATTTTTGGTTATACTGGGTCTCTGTTGCTGTGCGTGGATTTTCTCTAGTTACAGTAAGGGCTACTGTTCATTGCAGTGTGTGGCCTTCTCATTAAAGTGGCTTCTCTTGGTGGTAGAGCTCAGGCTCTAGACGTATGGGTTTCAGTAGTTATGGCACACAGTCTTAGTAGCTCTGCAGCATGTGGCATCTTTCCAGACCAGGGATCGAACTCCTGTCCCCTGCACTGGGGACACTATACCACCAGGAAAGTCCCTAATTACATATACTTCAAAAAATACTGTTTTCATTTGTTCATGAATTCTTTCTCTTAAAGCTCCTATCTGAGGAAGTGAGTAATTTCTCATATCCTGTTCTTGCAGGAAGAATTTTAAATCGTTTCTCCAGAGACATTGGGCATATGGATGACTTGCTGCCTGTGATATTTCAAGATTTCATCCAGGTAATGTATCAGTCCTGTCAGAGTTCTCACAGGGAGTAGCAGAGAGTCTGTTTCTCAAGGATTTTTCATAGGGATAGAGGGCGGGCTTTTCAGCCTGCAGTGTTTCCTGTTACTGTCAGTAAAGGCCGAGTTTGTGAGAAAAAGGTGCAGTTGTGATTCAGAGGCTGAGTTAACAGGAGGAGCACCTGGGGCGGGAATGGCTACACAGTCACATCAAGGTTGGTCTGAAGCAGCAACTGCTATGTAAGTGGTTCTCCCTCTGCCTTCCAGTTATCTCAATTCCTTTTACTGTAAGCACATTTCATAATATCAAAATAATCACCTCTCATAGAAAGATAGCCTAGGTTAAATAAATTATGCATTGTATTGGGCTTCCCAGGTGACTCAGTGATAAAGAATTCACCTGCCAATGTAGGAGATGCAAGAGATGTGGATTTGATTCCTCGATTGGGAAGATGCCTTGGAGAAGGGAATGACAACCTACTTGAGTTTTCATGCCTAGAAAATTCCATGGAAAGAGGAGCCTGGCAGGCTACAGCCCATGGGACTGAAAAGAGTCAGACACAACTGAGCGTGAGCCTGATACACTGTATTACCACAGAGGACAAATATTTACTGCACCGTTTTATTTGGATAAAGCCAGGTGTGGTTACTTGCAAAGAAAAGATTGATAAAAATTAGGTGAAAATAATACTTCAACAAGGACAATGTTATTGCTTGGTTGCTAAGTTGTGTCCAACTCTTTTGTGAATCCATGGACTGCAGCCCACCAGGCTCCTCCATCCATGGGATTTCTCAGGCAAGAACACTGGAGTGGGTTGCCATTTCCTTTTCCAGGGGATCTTCCCAACCTAGGGATTGAATCCACATCTATTGAGTCTCCTGCATTGGCAGGTGGATTCTTTACCACTGAGCAAATAGGGAAGCCCAACAAGAACAATTCAGTTCAGTTCAGTTCAGTCGCTCAGTCGTGTATGACTCTCTGTGACCCCATGGACTGTAGCACACCAGGCTTCCCTGTCCATCATCAACTCTCAGAGCTTGCTGAAACTCGTGTCCATCGAGTCAGTGATGCCATCCGTCTGTCTCATCCTCTGTTGTCCGTCTCCTCCTGCCTTCAATCTTTCACAGCATTAAGGTCTTTTGCAATGAGTCAGTTCTTCACATCAGGTAGCCAAATTACTGGAGTTTAAGCTTCAGCATCCTTCCTTCCAATGAATATTCAGGACTGATTTTATTTAAGAATCACCACTTTGACCTTCTTGCTCTTCAGGGGACTCTCAAGAGTCTTCTCCAACACCACAGTTCAAAAGCATCAATTCTTTGGCACTCAGATTTCTTTATGGTACAGTTCTCACAACCATACATGACTACTGGAAAAACCATAGCTTTGACTAGATGGATATGTCGTCAAAGTAATGTCTCTGCTTTTTAATATGCTGTCTAGGTTGGTCATAGCTTTTCTTCCAAGGAGCAAGCATCTTTTAATTTCATGACTGCAGACATCATCTGCAGTGATTTTGGTGCCCAAGAAAATAAAGTCTCCCACTGTTTACATTGTTTTGCTATCTATTTGCCATGAAGTGATGGGACCAGATGCCATGATCTTAGTTTTTTGAATGCTGAGTGTTTTTTGTTTTTTTTTTAATGTTGAGTTTTAAGCCAACTTTTTCACTCTCCTTTTCCACTTTCATCAAGAGCCTCTTTAGGTTTTTTTTCACTTTCTGCCATAAGGATGGTGACGTCTGCATATCTGAGGTTATTGACATTTCTTCTGGCAATCTTGATTCCAGCTTGTGCTTCATCCAGATCAGCATTTTGCATGATGTACTCTGCATATAAGTTAAATAATCAGGGTGACAATATACAACCTTGACATACTCCATTCCTGATTTGGAAACAGTCTATTTTTCTATGGCCAGTTCCAACTGTCACTTCTTAACCTGCTTACAGATTTTTCAGGAGGCACGTAAGGTGGTCTGGTTTTCCCATCTCTTAAAGAATTTTCAAAAGTTTGTTGTGATCCACATAGTCTAAGGCTTTGGCATAGATAATAAAGCAGAAGTAGATGTTTTTCTGGAATTCTGTTGCTTTTTCAGTGATCCAACGGATGTCATCAATTTGATCTCTGATTCCTCTGCCTTTTCTAAATCCAGCTTGAACATCTGGAAGTTCACAGTTCACGTACTTTTGAAGACTGGCTTGGAGAATTTTGAGCATTACTTTGCTAGCGTGTGAGATGAGTGCAGTTATGCGGTAATTTGAGCATTCTTTGGCATTGCCTTATTGGGATTGGAATGAAAGCTGACTTTTCCAGTCTTATGGCCACTGCTGAGTTTTCCAAATTTGCTGGCATATTGTGAGTGCAGCACTTTCACAGCATCATCTTTTAGGATTTGAAATAGTTCAACTGGAGTTATATCACCTTCACTAGCTTTGTTCATAGTGATGCTTTCTAAGGTCTGCTTGGCTTTGCATTCCAGGATGTCTGGCTCTAGGTGAGTGATCACACCATCATGATTATCTGGGTTATGAAGATCTTTTTTGTACAGTTCTTCTGGGTATTCTTGCCACCTCATCTTAATATCTTCTGCTTCTGTTAGATCCATACCATTTCTGTCCTTTATTGAGCCCATCTTTGCATGAAATGTTCCCTTGGTATCTCTAATTTTCTAGAAGAGATCTCTAGTTCAACGTCATCTCAGAAAATGTCTTTTGTTTTTGTAGGCAGATTTTCTTTTCACAAGTTGATTGCTCTATCTTAAGTTGTGTTACAAAAAAGAGAGAGAGAGAGAGAAAGACCTATAGGAATGCCTTCTATTCAGTCTCTGTCTGTGAACTGTTCTAAGGAATAATGTTGGGTCACCTCAGCTCTTATCCCCACATTCAGTATTGTTACTCATATGGAGTGTTTTTTTCTGTTATTTTATTCTGTCTACTTTTCAGTGATTAAGCCTGGGGAATTTGCTTTTTCTTTCCAAGGGTTAATTTTGAAAATGAAAAGAATGTGTCAAAACCTTCACATAGAAATGCAGCAGTGAACATTTGCCTAGGGACAGCACAGCCTGTGGGCAAGGATTCCACTATTACCAATGAGAACTAAACTGAGACTCAGCGGCAGAGAACTTACTGCAAAGAGGTTTATTTTTCTTTCTCTTCTGCAAACTTATTTTATAAATGTGCCTTGTTGGATTTAGCTACACAATTTATCCCCAGAAACAATTTTTCCCTCAAAACAGTGTCATGTTTTGACAGTGATTGTGAATTACTTTGAAAGGGTCTTGTGAAAGGTTCTGTTTCTTTGCTATAGCAAGGTAGGCCAAGGTTGTTTTTCTGCCGTGTGTTTAGCATTTGGTTAGTCAGTCATCATAATCAGAATTCGTCACATAGATTTGGATGGCATATAGAGGGACAGGGATAGATGCTACCTGATTTCAACGAGAAATATTCTCATTAAAGAGGAGAGAAAATTCTAGTCTAGCTGATTTCCAGTCCCTCCTCTACCACTTGAAGTTCAATTGTCTTGAAGTTTGGTGGAGGTGTCCTGTAGTTCATTAGAAGTAGGAGTCTGTTCTTTGAGAGAGAGATCTGGGATGAACATGAAGCCTGAGTATTTTTCACTTGCTAAATCTCTGAAGATGGTAAGATTGCCGAGAGAGTGTATTTTAGGAGCCAAGATCAAAAGCTTAGGGAAGCCTTGATATTCAGAGAGAAAGCAGAGAGAGAAGGGAAGTACAGAAGACACATAAAGAACAGCAAGGAAGAGAGGAGGAGATATGGTGGAGACCCGAGGAAGGATGGGTCTGTTCAGTGCAAATGAGAAGGTGAGTCCACGGAAAGCTGTTGGTTAATTTGGAGGCATCTGGTGACCTGAGGAGCAGGTTTCAGATGGGAGGAGTTAGAGTGCAAAGGGCTGCAAATCCAGGAGGTGTGGAGGGACTTGAGGTGAAGACGGACTGGAAGGAGTTTGAATGAATCAGGAGAGAGGCCCATCTGGAATGTAGGGTCTGAGGAGGTGTTGCTGGTTGTTTGAGATTTTAGTTCCTGGGAGGGGAGGATGGTTGGTGGTTTTTCCCTTTCTTCCATCCTTCCCTTCAACAAACAAGCATTGAGGCCGTGAGGTACACGGGTGACTCACAGGGGTGAGTCAGGCACAAAGCCCTCCCCTCATGGGTCTCGTCCAGTCCCCCAGGGAAGGAAGATATCCAGAGATTCACCCCCTCATGGCTTTGGAATCCTAATTGTGGGAGCTCTATGGAGGAAGCTCTGGAAGACAAACTGGATGTGGAGGCTGGAGGCAGTTAGGAAGCGTGGTCCAGAAGGTGGCGGAGCTTCTAGGAGGTGACCTTTGATCCCGGGTGAGAAAAAAAGGCTGCTGTTGTGGATGGTAGGGCTGGAGGTGCTGCTGGTTCCTGTGTGGGAACCAGTCTTTCTCTTCATCCCCAGCTGAGAGGGGAGAATGGAAGGCGCTGGAAGGGGGTTGTTCAGTTTTGTTTTAAAGGATGTATTTCATACCAAGTGTTTTCAAACTCATTTTTGATGGTTCTGCTTATCCATGTTGTATATAATAAACCTAGGAAGATACTTGATCATTTTTATTATTTGTAAAGAGTCTATTTCATATACTTCTCCTCATTTAATTCCTTCTCATTCCCTTAAATGATAGCTCAGATAATTTATTTAGTATTTTGTAATAGTGATGCCAAGTGTGGCTAATGAAAACCCTGGGTTCTGAGTGGTGGGTCTACACTTCAGGACAGAACATCTACTCAGACAATGTCACTCAGAGACCACATCCCAACAGAGGGCAATCATGAGTTTGTGCACCATCCTGTACACTGACTCTTACAGATACTAGATATGTTGCCTGTTCAGTCACATTGTAGTTGTTGGGCATATTGGAGCTGTTCACCATTTCAAAAAGGATGAAGGAAAGCAGCATAAAAAATTCTGTTTGTGTAGTGTGATTCACCTGATAATCATTTATGATGGCAACAGCT